TACAAATTCTTATAATAATAAGACTTATTTTCGGACTGTGGTGTTTTGATCAGATATTATTCGGATTGACGCTGACTATTACCGGATTCTTTGCATACAGATTTTGGATTCTTCCATACTTGTTTCGGATTAAATCTTTTAACTGGATTAAGTTCGGATTATTGCGGACTGATTTCGTATTATTTACATATTAATTTCGGATTATTTCGTATTTATTTTAGATGAGTTTTTTGACAGACATAATTTCGGATTGTTGCGTAATAATTAGGGGAAAGGTGTACGAGATGATCCCCTGATGCAAGATGATCCTTTTGAATTTTGGAGAGCCTATTAGCGACACCTTTTAGGCAAATACGGTAATACGTTGCCAATGACATACCTATGAATCAGTCAAACTGTCATGACAACACGCGTCATTAAAAAAACACTATTGGAAAAAATGAAAATTTCATACTTTTGATCTAAGGAAAGATTAATTTTGGGCTTAGATAACTTTTGTTGTAGTAGCTGAAATTCCATGTTTCTTGTACTCACGGCTTCAGTATATCTTCAACTAAGTGTTCTGATTGGTATTATGGAATAACAGAGCTCGTAGGTTAAGTTACGAACAAATTACAAAATAGTGGCATTTGGGGCAAGATGGTCCCTCAATGGGTGTACAAGATTATCCCCCCTGATTCCCATGTATTTCATCTCACCTCAAAGTGAAATTTGTAGTATTAATAAAAAAATCAATTTTTATCGCTTCTTATATGTTTTTATTATGAAAACTAACCTAAAACAAAAAGTTGATATCTACATCTATTTTATTAATTTTCTCGTTGTAGACAATGCCTCGTAATTATAAAATAGGAAAACGAATCGTGGTGAGTGGTCAAAAGCGTTTATGGCCTAAATAAAGTATATTTAACATTGATACATTGTTATTCCTTCAATTTAGACTCTTTTTCCAATAATTGGGGTAAGATAACCCTACGGATCATCTTGCCCATACTATGGGGATCATCTTGGACACCCCGGTGTTCAAGATGATCCTTTTGTAAGGTTTTAGAAAAATTAAATTTAACAGTAAAATATTAATTAGCTGCAAATATTTCAAATCAGAATAGTTAGATAGATTAATTATCTAGCAGTGCGTACAAAAAAAACTCGAATATGTTGATTTTTCTTTGAATAATAGGTTTTTTCCCTTAGGGGGATCATCTCGTACACCTTTCCCCTACGGATTTAATTCATAGACATTTAAGATTACGCCAGACTGATTTTTAGGATTCACAATTTCACTCGGATTGATGTTAGATTAACCCGGATTACTCCGAAATTTTTACCAGGGATATAATATGATTCAGGTTGCCGTCTATTACCAGATTCTTAGCATACATATTTCGGATTGTTTCGTATTTGTTTCGGAATATGATTTTACCACACTAATTCCTAATTGAAGCGGACTAATGTCGGATTCTTTGTGTACAGATTTCGGATTATTTCGTATTTGTTTCGGATTATACCTTTTAGTTGGATTAAATCCGGATTGTTGCAGTCAATTTTCGGATTCTTAGCATAGAGATTTCGGATTGTTTCGTACTTCTTTCGGAATAGGATTTTGCCACACTTAATTTCAAATTGTTGCGGACTAATACCGGATTTCTTGCTTACAGAGTTCGGATTGCTCAGGAAATTTTGCGGATTAAGTTTTTTTAACTAGATTAAACTCGGATTGTTGCGAACTGATTTCGTATTCTTTACATATTAATATCGGATAATTCCGTACTTATTTTATAAGAATTCTTCACCGGTCATAAATTTAGATTGTTGCGGACTAATTACGGACTGAATACGTAGACATTCAGGATTACTCCGGAGTGTTTTCGGATTCCGGTTTTCGTTCGGATTGATATCAGACTACCCAGTAAGAAACGAAAAATTAAAAAGTATTAAAAAGATTATATTCTTTTGAATGCCATTTCTGTCCAATACTTTTCTATCCAGTGAGAGCAATATGAAAAGTAACGATATCAATCCTCTTGAATACCCAGTAAGAAAGCAAAGATTAAGAAGCATTAAAAAAATTTTATCCTTTTGAATACCATTTCTGTCCTATGCTTCTGAATTCCGCAACAGTAGTATTTAGAGCATTGCAGTTTTGACTATAGGAGGCCTTTTCACTCTAAATAAATGTCCGTACTTATGTGACATTCTGTTCATTTTTGTGGTGTCCATAAATAAATATTGTGTTTTTACCCTACATTTGTAAATTTCTACGGAAAAGAAAATTTCAACTTTTCAGTATATTTTCTATGTAAATTTGTATCTAAGAGAATTCATTGCCTAAAAAAAATATTTTTGCAAAATTTAACATTTAGCGCCAGTCTCCCCTATAGTGAAATTTGTAGCTTTTCCAGGTGAATTGTGAATATTTTTTCCTTGTATTATTAATTTTATGATAAAAAGGCTTAATAACAGAATTATAATTAATTTAATTAGCAAAAAATGGATTTAATTAATAATTTTATTATTATTATTTCCTTTATTACTTTTATGATATGATTATTTAAGTATGAATTTCTTTACTACTGTAATTATTTCATTCTACTTATTTTTTAAATATAATTTAATAAATATCATTTTAATTATACAATATAATTAATTTTATTGAAAATAAAAATTTTTCAATTTATTCAGATTGAAATATTGCGTAAAACATTCCTAAAGTTCACAATATTTAAATAAATGCGATTGTAAATAATTTACAATCAACGATTTATAGAAAAGAAGAAAAAAATATTGTTCTCTATCCAAAAAATATGTTTATAAATTTTTGTCGACGACAATTTTTTTTCTACACACAATTTGTTGAAAAGATACAAAAAAATTTTTTGTTTAATTGATATTAAACAAAAAAAAATTTATATTTTCCGTATGATTTTCTAATTGCAATCGTTGATTTTAAACGTTGGATATGAATTTCAGTGATTTGCGTAAGTGAAATTTAATTTTTACAATATTTTAATAACTTATCATAAATAACTTATTGCACTTAAAATGAATTGCTGTATAATAAAATTTTACACCTTCTTTGCATATTTCTTTCCATATTATTTATAATAAATAGTGAATTACAGAATCTTTTTACATTAATAATATTATACGTTGGACGTTTAAAAGATGGATTAATATTTTTAATTTGAAAAAAATCTATTTACTACAAATTAAATGTTATATTGAATTATTTATTATGAGATTTAATAATATATTGTTATATAATTTGTAAATATGTAAATAAATAAATGAATGAGTTAACAACAATTTAGTACATTTAATTTAATATTTTATTTTCAAATATTAATTTCAATTTTGAAATAATTTCAGATTCAAAATTTCTAAAAATTTAATTATTAACTAATTTACTAATTAATTATTATTTACTGGTTTTAAATACTAATAAAATTTTTTGCAGAAATTCAAGTTCTTTGAAAAATGTTATTATATTTTGAAAGATGGAATAAAATTCTTTATAAGAAAAAAATTTCATTTAATACTTCGGAAAAATTTAATTCTTTTCAAAATAATAAAATTATAGCTGTGCAAAATAATTCGAACCGAACTGTTAGAATTTTTTCGCCTAGTTCGAATATTCGACATTCGAGTTACTACAAAATTCGAACCGAACCGAGTTGTGATCGGTTTTGGAACGCTAAAATGTCGAATTCTAAAATTCGACATTTCAGTCGCCTAGTTCGAATGTCGAAAAACCGACATTCGACATTTCGGCGCCCCAAAACCGAACAAAACTCGGTTCGGTTCGAATTTTGCACAGCTCTAAATAAAATTCTTCGTAGAAATTCAATTATTTGAAATTTTTTTGTAAAAATTCTTCATAAGAATTCACTTGTTTTTAATTCAATATTAGTCAAATTCTTACCAAGATTGCAATTATTTTCATAATAAAAAACAGTTCTCGAAGGATTTCAATTATTTTTAAAAATTTCTATAAAACTCTTTAAAAGATTTTTAAATAATATTAAAAATATTTATTTATTTTTAATATTATTTTAGTTAATTTTTTCGTAGGGGAGAGTGGGGCAAACCAGCCATACTAACGGGTTTTTTACTCTTGTGACTAAATGAACCAAACGATTTCATTTTCTATCGTGGCTTATGTTTGAAAGATCATAATTATACTTTATCTTTTATTGTTTAGTTTACAAGTTGTAAACAATAAAGGATACATTTTTCGTAACGCTAAAAATGTTATTTTATTTTTTAACGGTAATGCCCTTTGAATTTCAAACATGATCCGACCTTGACTGTAAGGACCAACCTGGACTACAAATTTTTTTTTTAAATCTTTATAACTTTTTTATTTTAAGACCAATTAATTTACTTTGTACAGAAAAAATATTCCTATTTAACAGGACTTTTTAACAATATACTTCAATTGACCAAATTCATTTTTTTAAAAAAGTTATAAACAAAAGTCAAAAGATGGTCCGACCTTGACTATACTCCCCTATTTAGTGATAAATAGATCAAGTTCGTAAAAGTGTATAACGGAACTAAAAAAAAATTTTTTGCTCCCAGCGTTGCACAAACAAAAGTGAAAACTGACAAATTGAAAAAATGACCTATACTACACATGATTGTTTCAAATTTCTAAACAACACTTTTGACAATTTCGTAGATAATAATTTAATTTAATTTCCTAGATGTTGACACCTAGCCGGTTCGACCCACTCTCCCCTAAGAATTAACTTATTTTTAAATAATTTAATTAAATTTTACGCAAGAAAATTAATTATTTTGAAAAATTTGGATAAATACCTTTATGAGAATTCAATTATTTATTTATTTCAGATTGAAAATTATAAAAGAAATGTTTTTAATCGAAAACAATTTGTTCTTTATGGCCTTTCAACTTTAAAAAAATATTATATTTAATTAATTAAAATATTTTTAATTATTTATCGAATATTATTAAATGAGACACATTTTTCTTGCAGGGCCAAAGGAATTTAACTTTGGAGGACGTAATTATTTCTTCAGTGGTCATGTACCACAGCATTCATCCCAGAGAGTTGACTGGTTAGATGCCAGGAACATCTGCAGAGAATACTGCATGGACCTTGTTTCCATTGAAACACAAGAAGAAAATAATATGGTCTTCAAACTCATCAAGTCAAGTGAGTCAAATTTTTACCATTATTTTTAAAAACTCTCAAAATTTTAACATTTATTTTATAAATAATCATAATTTTATTATTACTTTTATACCAATTAACATAATTTTATATTTATTTTATTAATCTTTTACTATTTTTATTTATTTTTTATTTATTTTATTAATCTTTTTATATATTTTGTTTTATTTTATTAATTTTTTTATTGCAAGAAATAAATTTATTTATTTTATTAAAATTGGATAAGTAAATAATTCTAGACTGAAACTTCTTTCCTTCCTTTTTATCTCGTATATTAACAATTTAGTCTTTTTTTACTCATGAATAATTTCTATTTCTATATTTTTTTATAATCAAATTCAAATCGTTAAGTTTGCCAACCACAAAAGGCCTTTTTCTTCATTTAAATAATCGTTAGAAATTAAGAAATCTCACGAACAAGGTCGTTTGTAAATTTATATAGAGAAACCAGAAACGGAAACTATTCTCATAAAATAAAAAAATAAACTTTCATCTCTTAAAATTTTCGAATAATTTTGCAAAGAGTGAATTTTTATGCACAGATACAAAAATTCAGAGGAAAAAAATTTATTTTACATAAAAAAAATATGAGCAAATTTATTTTTACATTTTAAGAATTTTTTTGTCGATACGGAGAGAGTTAATTTATTTTATCGCTTTGAATATAATATTGCAACATTTGAACAATATTTCTCTAAATTTTCATGAAAAGATATTGAGAATTGAGCGAGATAATGTGATTTTTCTCAGGTGACTCCGAAGAAAGTTGATTTGCGGTGTACGCTGTAACTCGTAACAGAATCATTTAAATTAAAAAAATTAAAGTGCATTTGTCAAAGGATATGTTTCTTGAGGTAACGCTGGAAGGATTTTTTTATTTCTTTATTTTTCGATTTTTTGTAGCATCTATAGAAGCCAAAAAGTCGATTTTTGATATAAAAAATCGACTAATTTGTTATTGTAAAGTTGGTAATTTATTTTTTTAAAGCTCCCAGGGATACCTGAGGAATTATGTGAAGAAGCACTCTGCAAAATTGCAGAACGATTGGTCAAGTAGATTTTGAGATATCGCGTACACCAACTTAAAAAAAGACAAGTTTCAGAAAACTCATAACTCCGTCAATTTTGCTCCGATTGACTTGAAATTTTAATTAACACAATATTTTTGAGATATTATGCAGTCATTTACAAAATTTTTTTTTAAAATGCATAAAAAAATTTTAAGACGTTAGCCCCCCTTCTTAAATAATAAATAAAAAAAAATAATAATAAATTGAAAAAAACAAAAATACCTGTAAAAAGACAAAAGATATGAATAAACTAATTTTTACATAAAAATAGAAAAAAAAATGTAATAAGACAATTATTATTGTCCGTAATTATTTTCTCAATATTCCTTACCTATAACATTGTTTTACAAATAATAAAATATTCTCTTTGCATAAATGAATATTTTAAATACGTATAAATATAAAATTATCACAAAACACACTTTCCATGTTTTTCAATTGAAAATTAAATTAATGAAACAAGCAATTTCTTAGACTTTAAAGATCTTAATCATTTTCTTAAATCAACTTAAACATTAAAAAAAATAAATAAAAAAACGAGAATACTGATCTCAATGAATTTCTATATAAATTCTTCTTTATCTCGTAAGCAACAAAGTAAGGAAAAAAAAAGAAACGCAATTCTAAGAATATTTATCCACGCAATTATTCACTCATCCGTTAGCGTATAATCTTATCAAACAATTTTTCGCACAATTTCATTATAAATTATGAATAATTATTATGCCACCGTGAAGGTGATAGAAGAACTCGAGATGCAGATGAGATCAGAAAAAGTGATTACAAATATATATATTCATGAAAAGTGTGTCTTTTGATATCCCTTAAAGTTGAAAATGTGACGTCAAAATGCAGAGAAGGTTTTTTACAAAAGTGGGTTGAGGCTAGATAGTCACTTTTTTATGTAATGTAACATCTTCTTTATGCGTTAATTTCTTCGTTAATGGAATTCGAAAAGGAAAAGATAAAAAGAAAAAGGAAGAAAGAAAAACAGGAAACAACACAAAACGAAAAAGAAAAGACTTAAAGAAAAAAAAACCAAGAAAAGGAAAAACGAAAAGAAGGAAATAAAACGTAAAAAAGAAAAAAGGAAATACAAACAAAAGAAAAGGAATAAAACGTAAAAAGAAGAGAAAAAATAAAAGAAGAAAAAACCTCAAGGTGAAATCAATTTCACTTATCCAGACGCTGTGACAATTTCATATACACTTTCTCGCAAGGTTAAAGCACGAAGGTGGTTAACCGCTAATTTTTTTATATTTTCATCTTTACTGTTATTAGGGGAAAAATTTCACTATTTCTGATTATGACAATTTTATATTCAAACAAAAAAAAATCGTTAAAAATTTCTTAACTATAACCAGATATTATTAACTAAATTATAAGTAGAAATGTAAATCAGAAACTAATTAAATTTTTTTACCTTTAAATTGGTTGATTTCAAACTAAATTCGAATTTAAAGATTTTTTAGATTAAAATTAAATAGTAAAGCAAATAAACATTCAATTCAATTTTTAACAAATGTCAACTGTCAGTACAAACTTTTGTCAAAAAATACATTTTTTATGTTCCAAAAATTTTCACTATAAAAAAAATAATTATAAAGTTTCTAAACGTAAAATTTATTAAAATCTTTAGAAAATAATTAAATTCTTCTCAGAAATATATTACAATTTTTTTAAATAATTTAATTCATTAAAGGAGTTCTGTATTAAAATATTTAAAATAATTAAACTCTTTCGAAGAACAGATGTAGGTAATAAATGTAATAAGTAATTTTACTATCAAATTTTATTAAAATTATTTATAGAAAATTTAATTTTTCTAAACAATTTTTAAAAAAAAATTTTTTTTTTTTATTAAAATTATTTATAGAAAATTTAATTTTTCTAACCAATTTTTTTTTTTATTTTTTTTCGAGCCCCAGCAGAGTAAGTCCCTCATTTTTTCATGGCTTTAAATTTGTTTTTCAATTATTATTGTTTGGCGGTAACGTCTTGGAGCGGTATTCATAGTCCCGACTTTTTTTTTTTTTTTTTTTCTTAAATGACTTGAAGCTAGGCCAACTGTCAGAACACACATAGTCCCGACTTAAGCAAGGACTTAAGCTTTGCTTGATCAAGTCGGTCTTATTCGATTGAGTCGATCTTAAGACCATATGTATTCATAGTCAAAAATAAGCAACTGCTTGGTAAAGGAAATGAATTGCTTGACCAAGCAAATGCTTAAGATGATCTTATTGAGCGTTCGGCTTTTTCCGTCAATATTCTCTTGTATCTACCAATAAGCGACGGTAGATAGCTTATATTCATTAGAAAAAATGACGCTAATGCACATAAAATATCTTATAATGGAGAGGAGGGGGGTAAAAAAAAACTTAAAAATATGCATAATATTTTAATATTTTTAGGAAAAAAGTTATAAAGTAAAAGGATACAAGAAATGACTACCAGAATGATGAAAAATTGAAATATTCCTATTCCTCACGAAATATTATATTTAGATTCTAAATTTTTCTGTATTAAAAAATAGAAAAAATTATTTTAACTATTATTTTCTAAAAAAATTATTGAGTCAGAATCAGTAAAATTTTACAAAAAATAAGGAGTATTTTTATAATCGAAATGAAAAAAAGCATTTTTATTTGGCCATTGTCTCTAACAAACAAACGACAGAAAAAATTTTGTTTAATAAAAGTTATTGTAAAATGAATTTTTTTGAAACTTTTTATAAAAAAATCTTATTTTTCCTAAAACAATGAACCAAGAGTGCATACAAAAGGGGTGAAACAATTAACTTTCATTTGGAACTACAAAATTTTTAAAAATAGTATTTTTTAATAATTATATTTAATATTAACAGTTTTATTTCCTCATAGGGGTGTCGATTTTCTTAGAACCCTGCTAAAAATAAAATCAGAAATAAAGAGAAAACGTCAGAAATTTTGATGTTTTGTGACTACTTTGACGATTCCTGAAGCTTTTGGTTAATTCTGACTAAAGGATTTTTTATGCTCCTGTTGAATCCTGATGTTTATGGATTGTGATTATTGAGCATTGAAATCTTTTTTTTTATTTACAGCCCCTCACCGAAATATAGCCGGTAAATGTAAAGTACCGTTAAAACTTGAAATTTGTGCGTAGCCCTTTTTTCACAATAGAATTGCGGGTCTATTGTTACGAGGTTCGGGTCTCTAACCTAATTTTTATTGCTCAAAAGTTTTGCAATTTTAAAATTTCAAGTAAAATGAATATAAATTCAAAATCTAGAAATCTCCACAATTACAAATATCTAAAATTTATTATAAAAAACATTTTTTTAAGGAAACTGTAACGTATCTCGAAAACCGTAATTGTTAAATAAAAAAGGATATCATTTTTGAATTTAAGTTCTAAAGGATATACTGCATGCATAATAAGAGCATATATTGTTAGATGAATTCTAAGTCGATGAAAAACAAGTATAATGTTTAAATAAATATGAATATAAACAAATAAAAAGATTTCCCTTCAATTTTATGACGGTCAGTCGACCTTTTTCCAGGTAAAAAAGGGTGTCGACTTTGTATAAAAAACCTGACTACTTTTGAAGCTTTCTGATTAAACATGACTCAAGCCTGACGTTCTGTGGCTGCAAACGTAACAAATGCAGCCTAAAAACGTCAGAGATTCTGACTAAATTTCTGTCGTTTTGTGATTTTATTTTTAGTAGGGAATCAATTATTTTTACAAATTTTCAAGTATAGCGTATATAAATATTTCAACATGGGGAACAAATTCTCCTGATGTATGTGTGTGGATGCATATCGAAATGTTTTTTCAACATTTCGATGAAAAAAGATACTTTTTATTTCTCGTGAAAATTTTATAAATTTTGAACCTTTTTTCTAAATTATTAAATTTTAATTATTATTAAATTGTTTTTAACAAAAAATCTTTTCATTTTTATTATAAATATTTATAAAAAGACAATAAGTAATTGCTTAAGTCATGTAAAACGTTGACTTAAAATCATAACCTCAATTCGTTCAAATAAGTTCACCGGCAATGTCAAATAAGATCATCTTATTTGACTATGAATACTTGTCATTCTTAAGATGGGACTATGCATCTCAAAATCGAAGCATTTACTTTGTCAAGCATATGCTTAAGTTGCGGCTTAAGGCAATGCTTATTGCACGACTATGAATCTAGGTGGCAGCTTAAGTCGCTGCTTAAGAAATAAGTATCGACTATGAATACCGCCCTTGGTTTAGATATCGTTATTTCTTCTGGAATTTGAAACTTGGTCGATGTTGTAGGTTTCTGCTTCACGTGTTTCACACAAATGTTTCGTGAAAAATTCTGGGAAAATTTGAAAATAATTTGTAGCGAAGAATGCATGCCATTTGGACTATTGAGTCAATAAGGCTATGAAAATTTGATGGATGTGGACCTCTGTAGCTCAGTGGAAGAGCAATCAACCGGCAATTGATAAATCCTGGGTTTCGAGCCCCAGCAGAGTTAGTCCCTCATTTTTTCATGGCTTTAAATTTGTTTTTTCAATTTTATTAGAGTTCTTGTTTTTGTTATTGAAAATAATTGAATTCTTTTGAGAGGAATTGAATTTTGGAAAGAATTGAATTGAAATTTAATAACATTATTAATAATAATTAAATTGTTTTAAGGAATTCAATTAAAATTGTATTAAAAATAATTGAATACTTTTGAAAAATTTGATTGAAATTTGGAAAATTAATTGAATGAATTGAATTAGAAATTAAACTGAAATTAAGTTCTTCTTTCCAAAATTCAATAAAAATGTAAAACAAAATTGAATCCTTTCGTGAAATTTTATTAAAAATGTTTTGAAAATAATTGAATTCCTTCAAAGAATCTATATATATATATATATATATATATATATATATATATCTGTGTGTGATTAAATTTAAAATGTCATTTTTGATCCTACTAACTTTGATTTTTCGATGTTGGATTTTGAACTTAACGATACTCTATTTTGGTTGACTAGAATATATGATGGACAAAAATAATAGTGGTCGAGCAGGTGGAAGCAAATTTTAATTTTCACTAGGTGAAAAACGATAGGCAGAAATGATAAGAAATTTTCTGTTTTCGTTTATTCTTTTCTCAAATAAATTCTTACAACTTTAAAAAGTTAAAATATTTCAAATTACAATAATGAATGTTTCAACATGACTTAAAAAATATTTGTAATGAGTTCTGCCATAAATTAATATACTTTTGAAGACCAAAAAAACATATGAACATTGAAAGACACCATTGACATTTTGCTTCATTTCTCAATTTAGAAAAAGAAAGACTTTATTTTTAAGTTAAAGTCGGTGCGGTTTTTAAAGTACGTGTAATACCTGAAAACGAGATACAATAATATTTAAAAAATATTAATATTATGAACAAGTTTTCGATGGGGACACCACTGACATGGTGTGCTCGACAAAGTGATACTTGCTTTCTGCCACTAACCGTACAAGTTATAGATGTGATAGAATGTTGTAATGTTTTTTCTTTAAGAAGCTATACATATCACCAATACTATTAACGCTTAATAAGGCAATTATCTGCACTAGGTTATTTAAATATCAGACATGCTATTCAAAATTTGCGATAATTACTTAAAAATATGAAACTTACGGACAGGCGATTTTGATTTTTTTTCTAGCACTGGATCAAAATTATTCTGCTAGCACAATTACTATATAAAAATATAGACTCTTAGCTGTACAAAATAATTTTTCTGGTACTAAAAATGTGAGAATCAACAATTTTTATTATTAGGTAAAGTTCTGATTTCTTAAGTGCGGACAGGGGACACCACCGACATTTTGCTTCTAATTCTTCTGCAAAATTTTTTCAGAGAATTTCTAGCGACTAAGAATTATTAATTTAAGTAGAAGTGATTAAGAAAATTAATTGACTTCAAAAACTTTTATATATGAACTAGTATTCCAGATTTTTGGGCAGGACATGAAAATGACATTTTAAATTTAATCACCCATATAATATATATATATATATATATATATATAAAATTAGACTTTTATCTGTACATTGCTCAGAACTTTAAATTTCGCACATAATTCGTAACGTCATATTTAGTAACATTTGCTGTTATAATTATAAAATTTCGTTTTACATTACAGATGACGTGCCCTACATCTGGACATCAGGTCGTCTCTGTGACTTCAAGGGCTGCGAAAATCGTCGCGACTTGGAACCAAAGGCAATCAATGGCTGGTTCTGGTCCGCGAACAGAGTTAAATTAACGGCAACAAATCGCATTCCCAACGCTTGGACCTACAATCCATGGTCAAAGACTGGTCACAAGAAACAACCCCAACCCGATAATGCCGAATTCGATATCAATGCCACAACGGAATCCTGCTTATCCGTTCTCAATAACGTCTACAATGACGGAATCGCATGGCACGATGTTGCCTGCTATCATGAAAAACCATTCATCTGCGAAGATTCCGATGAACTTTTGAATTACGTCGCAAGTACAAATCGAGGAATTCGTCTTTAAATTTTTCAAAAAAAAAACAAAAATCTCTTTCCATAATCCGTCGTCTCTTTTATCATCCTTCAAATCTTTTTTTAATTTTTTCTGAATATTTCCTTCTCGTTAAATAAGAAATTCTCAAATATTCGTCTTCTTTTACAATCCATTTTCCAATGATCATTCCGATCTTTCCCAACTCAGTATTTTTAATTTCTTTCAGTATCTCCTTGTTTTTTACCAACAATTTGGTTTTAAGATTCTTTTAAGATTTTTTTTTTATTAGTTAGAAAAATGATCCTTCGTGAGTGATCAGCAAAACCCAACGTGTTCCATAGAAATATTCTCAGAGAGAAGAAAAATTGAGAGAAAAATATATATTTACGTTTATACCTGTAATTACAATAATCGATAAAAAAATTATTGTACTACACATATTTATTGATAAAAAGATGCATTAATTCGTCTTTTCTTTTTGTACAAACAACGAATAAATTGTGACTTAATAGAGAAACGAAAGATATTTTTTACATCACTATAAGAAAGAAATTTGTAATGAAAAAAAGGATTTAGTTCCATATTTCTTTACAGTTTTGTGTGAAATGAGAAAAGTAGATTTTTATCAAACCTTTTTTTTATTAAAATAACTAAATTAATTATTATCGTCAGCAATTATTAATCTATCATCCTCTGGAGCTTCCTCATCACCGAAAGATTCAACTGATTCTGGTTCCGATTCTTCCATTGAATTAACTAAACGGAAATTTGCTTTTCGCCTCGCCAATGGTTTCTTCTTATTCGTAGAAAGCATTTTTCGACCCGCAAATTTCTTCCGTCGAGGCAATGACGTAGGATCTAGAATAAAATTTGCAGTTAAATATCTAAGAATCGGAAACTAAATCTAAAAAATTTAAATTAAAACTAAAAATGTAATTTAATTAAAATAAATTTTAAATCGAAAATTAATTATAAAAACAAAAATTAAGGAGGTTGTTTACAGGTATGCAGACCTTCAGAAAAAATATTGAATTGACATTAAAGAATTTTTTAATATTATTGTTATTCGTATCTTCTGGAAGAACAAATATCAATTTTCAAGAAAAAAATTTGAAACTTACAAAAATTGTTTATTTAGTCATTTTTGCATATGATCAAAGTTTTCTTCATATTAAAAGGTTAAAGTTTTTCAAAACTTATTCGATTTAAGTCAATGATGACTTATTTTCTTCAGAAAATGATTCTCTATAACTTGACCGCTCAGATTTATAAACAAATACACCGTTTTGAAAATATGCTTATTTGTTTACAAAAAATTTTTAAAATTAAATCACTTTTTTTAAACAAATAAGCATATTTTCAAAACGGTGTATTTGTTTATAAATCTGAGCGGTTAAGTTATAGAGAATCATTTTCTGAAGAAAATAAGTCATCATTGACTTAAATCGAATCAGTTTTGAAAAACTTTAACCTTTTAATATGAAGAAAACTTTGATCATATGCAAAAATGACTAAATAAACAATTTTTGTAAGTTTCAAATTTTTTTCTTGAAAATTGATATTTGTTCTTCCAGAAGATACGAATAACAATAATATTAAAAAATTCTTTAATGTCAATTTAATATTTTTTCTGAAGGTCAGCATACCTGTAAACAACCTCTTTAAATCTAGAATTCTAATCGAAATCAAATGTAGAATCAAAATTTAATTATAGAATCGAAAATTAAATCTAAAATTTAAAAAAATTGTTTAAAAGTTGTTTTTAACGTACGATCTTCTGGAATGTTATTTTGTTTACGAAGTTCGGCGCGAATTTGTCGATTGATTATTTCTCGGCATTGAGCATCGAAACCACTCGGTAACCAGCCTAATTTTGAGTCGCATTTCGTGCCTGCCAAGGGTTTCGGAAGTTTTGTCAACATTTCCTGAATTTCTTCCACATGAATGTCGCAATACTGTTTTCAAAAAGACATTAAAAGTTTTTTAAAATTCGAAAAAGTATAGATATTAAATAAACTTAATTATTTAAATTAAATCGAAAAATTTCAAACCATGTAAAACATTTGACGAGAGGGAGGAATTACACCTTCTTTATAAATATAAACATTCTCGTTCAAATTTCGTTTCTTCTTTTGCGTCTCCTGACTGAAATTCGGCGAAAGAATCATCGTTTTTTGCTTTGAAACAGGAGTCGATTTATATGGCAAATTATATTCCGAATAATTTCTTTTGCACTTTACAGTAGCTCCCAAACCATCTGAAAATTTTTAACTTTTAATTTCCGTCCTCATATTTTCAATTTCGGAAAATTAATCCGGGTTGCCACAAAAATTTTATTCTATTTTTCCCTCATTTTCAGACAAAATTTTGCCTTTTTCCCTGACCCTAAAAAATATTCACTCAAAAAATAATTAGATACTCAAAAAAATGTTCTATCAGATATACCTATCTATTTACGAATTTCTTTAATCAAGATTTTCAAAAATTTCAAATTCAAACCTTTTGAAATTATTATAATAATTAAAGATAACCGAGTGGTAAAATCATTATTTTATCAAGATTCGTGGTAGAGAATCTCCGCCAAATAAGTAAAAATCGCGAATATATATTCTCAAAATATCGACTGTTTATCGATAAAATCGAATAACTCTATTTACTTAAGTAAATATTAACCGATTTTGCTCAATTTTTTGTTGTTGGATAAATAATGATAAAAGAAACAATTCTGTTAAGTTTATTTAATATTTATAGAACACTTTTATATAATTAAAGCAAAGAAAACTGAAAAAATAGCGAATTTTTGACATTTAGACAAATCTAGAGCATAAACTTTTAAACGGATTTGTAAAATATTCTGGAATATTAATTATTAGGTTAAAATCTCGATAAACATTTCAGGAAATTTCAATACATTTCGTATTTTTGGAAATATTTGAATATGTCTTGCCGCCTGTCATTACATTACTTTTGTATTTCCAATCCTGCAACCGCGTTTCTGCTTGGATTAACAAAATCTTTTGAATTCAGACACTGAAAAAAAAGTTCATTGAATCAAGTAAATGCATTTTCTTGACCTGATTTATTTGAAACAAACCCATATTTTCTTATTGGAAGAAATTTATTTTCTTGTGTCAAGTAATTTTGAGCATTGATCAAAGTTATTGAAATAAGAAAATATGGGTTTGACATAAGTAAATATCTTACTGTTTCAAACGAACTGTTTTACATGCGCCAAGTCTCGAAAAAGTATTGAATCAAGAATATCATGTTCTCACGTCAAGTAATTTACCTTGAGTCATTTGGTATCTTGAGTCAAATAATTTTTTTATTTCCTTTAAAGCAACTATTTATTTCATCCAACACCCATAGTCTTGAGCCAAGAAAATGGGAAGATTAATACAAGTTAATAATTGTTTCAACTCAATTAAAAATTATTTTGTTTCAAAGAAATATTAATTAATCTAAGCATTTCTTTTACTTGAAGCATTTCTATATTCTCATGTTTCGAAAACATTAATTTCTTGCGAGAATGTTATATTTTCTGAAATGAAATATTTTATTTATTCAATTCAATTAAGTGTAAGATCTTGAATTAAATCATTCTTTTGTTTCCTTTAAAAAAGTTTTTACTTAATTCAACGCTCATATAATCCTGATTCAAGAAAATACGAAGGTTAATATAAGTAAATATTTGTTTCAAGTTGATTAAAAATTACATTCAATTAATCCCATATTTATTTGAAGAAAGAAATTCATTTTCTTGTGTCAAGTAATTATTAGCATTGAACAGAATTCTTGAATTAACAATTTAGTATTTGGCAGAACTCAATATGTAATTATTTCAACCAAATATTTTACTTTTCCGAAGTACCAAAAAGTATTGAATCTACTTAGAATATCATGTTCTTAAGCGAAATAATAAAGTATTGTCTGGAGAATTCATGTTTCTTGAATCTAATCATTTTATTTATTTGCTTTGAAACTTTTTTTTACTTAACACAATGCCGGTGTTCTTGATCCAAGAAAATATTTTTCTTCAAATGTATATGCAACTTAAATATCAGTTTTTGAAAACTGTCCATTGAGGATAGGATGGCATAGTGGTAGCGTGACGGCTTCTGGTGCGTGCAACCCGAGTTCAATTCCTCCGACCGTGGAAAATTTTCTTTCAAGGTATATTTGTTGTATTTGTGTTAAGTAATAATTAAATGTAAATATATATGTAAAATAACAATTATTTAATTATTTAAATAAAAAATATAAATGTTAATTAATTAAATAATAGAAATGTTTGACCTAAGTATTAGAAAAGATGGGATGGGGGTAAGGGGGGGGGGTAATTTAAGTAAATAATTTACTTGTATTGAGAAAGTATTTTTTTGATTGAAATCTATAAATTTTCTCAAATCAAGAAAATATTTTCTTGGACAGACAACATACTTTCTTGATTTGATACATAAATGATTTTGAATTAATATATTCTGCATTTCTTACATGCTACTTAATTTCTTGGTCGAATTCCATATTTTCTTGGATCAAGAATATCTGTTCTTCTCACAAAATAAATGTTTTCTTCATTTAAATCTTGAATTACTTGAACGAACGTTACAAAAAATTGAATGAATCAAATAAAATAATTCAATTAACTATATATATTCTTAGAACAAGAAAATATTTTATTCATTTAATACATTTCATACTTCGTATAAGAAGACTAACTTCTTGGTCGAATTCCATATTTTCTTGGATCAAGAATATATGTTCTTCTTCCAAATATCCTATGTCAAGAAAATCGTTTTCTTGAATCAATACTTTAATAGTCTTGGCCGTATTCAATCCCACGATTTGCTTCAACCAAGAAAAATTTTCTTGGTTCAATACTTTTTTTTTCAGTGGACAATTAAAAACATTTGTGACAAATGTACGTTGTCAGATTTTGTAAAAAGTGCATGTGTGCAGAGAAAAACTAGTTCGAAAACGGTTGTTTACTAATTTCACGTCATTTCAAACAGGCAGTGCCGTTTTTCTTGGGCGATAACTGCAAGTCGCACATAACCTACAAATTTCAGAGACCATCGAACGTTCTTAAGGCAATTTTATAATCTTGGAGTCAATAATTTTTCTAACTTATAATTGATGAAACTATTGACGCCAGAATTTAAAAATTAGGTACCATTTTGCATCAAAGATGTTTTTGTTGGTATATTATAATAAGGAAACCGCTGCCAAGTTGTATATTTTTTTATAGTTTTGGTGCTCATTTCATGAACACTTTACTTCCTCATGGAGATAAAAATAATAGAAATATATGAATAACTTTTTATAAATATGGTAAAAGTGATTGAATTTTGAGTCAATGAATGTATTTTTAAATACCCTACAAGATAGTTACAATATTTTAATAGTTAAATAAAAATTTTCAAACAGAAAAGTTGAGAAAATGTCATTTTTCACAATTTTTAGTTTTTAAAATACCAATAATTTCGAAATTTATTATCGAATTAGGTTTAAAAATAGGTCAATCGAAGCGTTTTTTAATGCTCTACAAGTTAATAACGATAATTTTAAAGTTACTTCTACGTTTTTCAACAAAATTTTCAAAAGTCTTATTTTCCAAAATTTTTGATTTTTAAAAGTTTAATAACTCTGGTTAATATGGACGAAAAATGTTCAATTAGGGCTCAAAAGATGTGTCTAAAAAAACTCTACAAAATTATGTAAAAACATTTATAGATGGCCTAACATTTTTTTAAAGTTATGGGCAAAAAACGTTTTTTTGTAAAATTAAAAATAAAAAAAAAATTTAGTTAAACTTTATTAATATATCAGAAAGTACTCTCACTTTATGTCTGCAGGTGAGATCTACAATTTAAAAAAAAATTTAACCCAAAAGCTCTTCATGATTTCGAGATATTTATGAAAATGTGATGTTTACACACACACACACACACACACACACGCGGAAAATGTCATTTTTGAACTCCTGAGGTCAAATAACATAAAGATATGTCAAAAAATCGAACTCGAAAAATTTTGGTATTACAATACTTCCTCTATGAGGAAGTAATATTATACTGTAACTACTTTAAAATTATTTTTTTGAATTTAATTATTATATTCTAGAAATTTTAAATCCAATTTTTCATTAAATCAATTATTTTCTAAAATTTTAATAAATCCTGCGACAAAAATAGACAATAATCGAAGCTCGAATAAACGAGGGTGTACTGTAGAAATTTCGATCCATGGAAGGTAAAAGTATAGACATTGTGTTATAGACAAGTGTTTTATGTCATATTTTTCATTGATGTCAAATAATTAAAATGATAGCGTCGTTTCGATGACTTGGTTTCTCATCATCATCAGGCTAAGCCTAAATAAATAAACACTAAATTTACACCATAAATAAAGACGAAAAAAAAATTATTTAAAAGTTATAAATTTAAAAAAAAATTATTTACCACATCACAAAAACACGTTACATATTAAATTCGCACAGTTATTACTGGCACGAGTTTAATATGTAACGTGTTTTTGTGATGTGGTAAATAATTTATTTTTAAATTTATAACTTTTAAATCGAAATTTCTACTTAGTTTTAATATAAAAAAAAATTTCGGAAGGGAATATCATCATTATACTATATGTTATACTATATTCAATTATATAATTTCTAAGTAATAGTTTTATGATAGTCCTTCAAAAATTAAGTTATTTAAAAAGAAATTATTGTCAGAAATAGAAAAATTTGAAGGTTTTGTATTAGAATTCGTGTCAATTTCAAAGTTTAGAAGGCAAATAAAAAAGATACCAAAATTTAGAATTTTCTTATGAATTCTAAAAATTAAATTTTTTTACTTTTAATAAAAATCCCCGACTTTCCCCTGAATGCCCTGATCTGTAGCAACCCTGTTAATAGTAAAAATAACACCAAAAGAAAATATAACAGTAATCTAAATAATTGACAGTAAAAGAGAAAACTACGTAACATTAAAATAAAAGAATAGAAAAATTCAACAAATAGAAAACAATTTCTTACGCATCGCCTTCAATCGATAATCCAAAGTCTGATATTTCCTCGCCGATGGATCCTTTCTAGGATCGTAACCTAGTTTCACCCACATAACACGCCATGGACCAGTGAGAAAATAATAAGCAACCGATGGCAATAAAATCTTCAATTGATCACTGGTGAAATTAGTCTTATGCATTAGCGCATTTTTCGACCATACTGGACGCTCTTGAAATAATTTTTCAATTTTCTCAAGATGGAAATGTTGTAGAAATTTCACTCTCATTGCCGTGTCGATACCTTTTGGTGGATTAAATGGCACTTCGGGATCAGTGAAATTGACAAAATTCGAAAATCCATGACGTCGTTTTCTCGTCTTTCCAATAACATTCATTGGCTCGGAATCTAATACAGTTTTTGGCACGTACTGCTGTACACTCACCATTCTACTGAATGCAGCTGGTGGTAAAAAATAAGGAACCTCCACATCCAACCATTTATAACGTGGAATATCCCTTGGATATATTTTATCGTATATACATTCCTCCTCGTTTGTTACTGGATTCTTTACTATTGGCAAATATTGAAAGTCGCACAAATCTGAAATGTTTACAATATCATTAATAATTCAAATAATTCCCTGACTTTCCTGACTTGTAGCAACCCTGATTATGCTCAACAATAGTAAAATAATAAACAAGTTGTAAATCCAGATGTTCATTACATGAACATTTTGCTTCCTCTTTACGATTAGCAAAAAAAATTTGCTTCCTCGTGGAGGAAGCATTAACGATAAGTATATTTCATTTTTAAATCATTTTTAATACAATTTAACATTTATAAAATAAAGTTCATTCGTCTTAATAGAAAGAATAAAATTTTCTTATACAGTAATATGAATCTAAATAAACAAAAAAATTTTTAGTATAAAAGTGAATTTTTCAACTTTAATTGTAATTAATTCTATAATTTTTCAGTAGAATATATACTTTATATACATCAATCGATTCGTCTTTATGCAAAGAATAAGATTTTTTATTTATTTTTCAATAAATAATAACATTTTATTGTACAGCAACATGATTTTTAAGAAAAAATGAATGTTTATTAAAAGTGCAAATTTTTTGTCTATAATTGGTTTTAATTCTATAAATTTAAATACAATATATACTTTACATATACCAATCGATTCGTCTTGGTGCAAAAAATAAGATTTTAGAAATAAATGAGTAATATTTTCTTATACAGCAACATAATTTTGCAGAAAGAACTCATTTTTTGATAAAAATGCGAATTTTTCAGCTTTAATTGTGATTAACTCTATAAATTCTCATACAATTTATACTTTGCATATACCAATCGATTCGTCTTGATGCAAAGAATAAGATTTTATTATATATTAACTTCAATAACCAACTTAAAAAAAAAATTTTGAAAAAAAATTTTTTTTAGAAAAAAGTCAAAAAAAAATTTTTTTTCTGAGAATTTTTTAAAGTCTATCAATCCATTTCGAGATATTTTTATGATAAATATACCTGGTAAATTTTAGCCAAATTCGTTAAAACCTCTTCGAGTTATTGTGTTCACAAAATTCGGGATCCACACACACACACACATACATACATCCGGACAATTGTTCAGGGTCTTATATAACATAGTTCCATATAGAAGGAAATTTGTTAAAAGGATTTTTAAAAATTTTGTAAATTAAAGGACTACAAAGCTTCCTCACCAGGAAGCAAAATAATAAATTCAATACAAAAAAGGGGTGTTTTTTGAAACATACTTGTAAATTTAAATTCCGTATCGACTCGTCCCAAAACTTTAAGTTTAGGCAATTCGTAGTCTTGATCAGAGGACAAATTTTCATATTTTTGTCTGTCAAAAGCGGGCGGAATGTTTTCTGGTGCACCATAGGGATTATTTCTGTTACTCCCGTCTGTTTCGAAATTACTTTGTTTCTTACTGATTTGAGTATTATTTTGTTGCAGTAATTCACTATCATTTACTTGAACGGCTCTCGATTTTTTCACTCTCACACGTAATAAAAAACCACAAGTGTTATTCCTATCACCACAAGCTGGTTTACTGTAACCTTCCTCGGGTCTAAAGCGTAATTCTAATCTCCTATTATTAACGTCAACTGCCTGAAAAATTAAAATGTAGTTATCAAAATAATTTATCAAATTTACAAAACGAAACATTTCAAAGTATTTTTAAAGATCAAATTAGTTTTATGTCCCTTATATTATTTATTTATTACTTATGTGCGATTCCATGGGAGATTTTAGTTTTTTCGGAGTAAGTAAACCAATTGCAATGAAACTTAGGAATTTCAATCTACACATAAAAAGAAACATTTCCACCAAATATTACGTCAAAATATTCAGTAGTTTTTGAGATGTCAAAATTTTTCCAAAATTTTGAAATCGTTATATCTTATTATTATGTTTATATTATTAATTACACAGGTCCACAAAAAAATTCATTGAAAGGTTCCTATGACCAAACCTGGTGTATTATATGTTTTTGGGGTCGCTGAAAACGAATCTGAAGTCCGTTTTGCTCAATCACGTCAGGATTTTTCCTAACCTCATATCAGATTTTACGTGACAGATAAAATTCTATAAATATTGACAAATTTACCTCAATCTTGGTATCGAAGGTTTATTGGGGTTGCTGATTACGAATTTAAAGTCAGATTTATGAAATAAAAATAAACGATCTAATATGGCGGTCGAATTTATAGAAATTTCTCGAATCTTTACAGAACTTGATATCTAGGTGTTTTTAAGGTCACTGACCAGGAATTCTTTTGTAGGTCTGTATCTAGGGCAACTCCACGTTGTGACGGTGGGCAACGGAGTTATTCCGTGGTCTGTCAGAGTCCAAAAACTCACAGATACTAAGTTCTGTAAAAATTCAAAAAATTTTTATAAATCTGACCGCCATATTAAATACTTTATTTTTATTTCAAAAATGTGACTTTAAATTCGTAATCAGCGACCTCAAAAACCCCTTGATACTAAGTTTTGTAAAAATTCAAGAATTTTTTAAAAAACCGACCGCCATATTGGATCCGCCATTTTGTATTTTAAAAATCTGCCTCTAAGTTCGTAATCAGCAACCCCAATAAAGCCTTAATACCAAGATTGAAGTAAATCCGTCAATATTTATAGAATTTTATTTGTCACGTAAAATCTAAAATCTGATATGTATTTTGAGGTTAGGAAAAATACTGACGTGATGGAGCAAAACGGACTTCAGATTCGTTTTCAGTGACCCCAAAAACATATAATACACCAGGTCTGATCGTTTATACAAAATTTTTATTAACAAAAAAGTTATTAAATAATAATTGACTAACTTTTGAACATAAGCACGAAATTGAATGAGGCAAACACTAAAAAAATCTTCGCTATGGTTTCTATAAGATTCCGAAATGAAAATTTTGTAATGAGATTGTCTTTATATAATATTTTTAATATTTTTGTTCACTTTTGAGCGTAAACATTGAAAGTTTCTCCTTCTTTTTTTTTTTTCTTCTTAAATTAAATGACTTGTGAAGCTAGGCCAACTGTCAGAACACACACTCTTATATACCAACTAGTTTTGCGTTTCTACAGAACGACTTTTTGAGATTAGGAGTATTCGCATTTGCCTGGACCACCCGTCAATGGGTTTTCTCCCCAGAGAAGAGGGAAACTGTAGAAAACCTCTCCTGAGTACAACCGGTTTATCGACAGCCGAGTTTTAACGCACGGAGAGAAATTTAAACCGTAAAAGACAGTGTCTAATTCAGAAGGTTAAAAGAGGGGGAAAGTTCACGGTAAATCTGATTTCACCGAGTTTTTCCATTCACGAATCGCAAGTGGCAGTGACAGTAACCGTCAGAGAGCGCTACATCTTGTAGAAAATTATGATGAGTTTCCATTCATCGCCTAAGGCTGGAGTCCCATGGCAGCGTTTTGCGTTGCGTTGTAATGAGAGAGAATGCAGCAAACGTATATTTGCGTCTTTTTCTCTCTCATTACAACGCAACGCAAAACGCTGCCATGGGACTGCGGCCTGAGACTCTGATCACACCGTGATTTTACGTTCAACCTTCTCTCCGTGCGGTGTGTACTGGATAATAATCGACAGTGCACATCATTATACCTTGACGTCAAACCTCCCGCTCAGATTATCTCACGTGCAATATGGCTGACATCAGCTGATTTACCGGAGACAAATCAATGGGACAAATCAGTTTTTTAACCATAACTTTTTAAATATTCATTTTTGAACCATAGTGTAATGGAAAATTATTCTTTATTTATCGAATAATCTATTTTTTAAAACAATAAAATTTAATTTTATGGTTTTATTGTTTTATTGTTTTAAAAAATAGATTTCGATAAATAAAGAATAATTTTCCATTACACTATGGTTTAAAAATGAATATTTAAAAAGTTATGGTTAAAAAACTCATTTGTCCCATTGAATTCAATGCATTGTTTGTCCTCCGGTAAATCAGCTGATGTCAGCCATATTGAATTTCCCCCACCCAACTTGAACTACCTTATCAGCTGCGAACTTCCGGTTTCAGAGAGAAAGATCTGCGCGCGCATTTAAAATTACACGTTAAGTAGCAGAAACTTCTAATGTTTACGCTCAAAAGTGAACAAAAATATTATATGAAGACAATCTGATTACAAAATTTTTATTTCGGAGTCTTATAGAAACTGTAGCGAAGATTTTTTTAGTGTTTGCCTCATTCAATTTCGTGCTTGTGTTCAAATGTTAGTCAATTACTATTTAATAATTTTTTTGTTTATAAAAATTTTGTATAAACATAATATAAAAAATTTCCCGGACGCTAGACCCCCTGAAAAAAACTTGGAATAATTTCCATTTTTAAATCAATTTTTATTAGAAAATTCTACGAGAATTCAATTATTTAAATACAAAAATAAATAATTTAGTTATTGAATAAATTGCATGTTTTTTAAAATTGAATTCTCAAATTTAATTAATTCATTCATTTAATTTATCAGCAAATTTTTAAATAATTAAATTTTTGCGACGAATTTTAATAAAATTTCGAAGAATAATTACATTTTTCGAGGAATTCGGTTAAAATTATATTAAAAATAATTGAAATTTTATGATGAGTTTTATTATTCATGAAAATTATTGAATCTCTGTAAAAAATTTTATTATTTATGAAAGTAATTGAATTATTTTTTAATAAAATCATACAAAATTGAAATTTTCTAAAATTTCAAATTAAAACCTTTTAAAGTTCATTTGTTTATGAGAATTGTAAACGCAACTCTTAAAATTCAATTCATTTTGAAATGTTGAAGTAAAATTATTCAAGATTTATTATTTAATTATTTACAAGCAATAATTTTGTGATTCTTATGAATTCTAAAAATTTAATTTTGTCCAGTACTTTTAATATTTTTTTTAATATTTCGATTTTGGTTCTAGCTCAAACCGTTTTGCAGAAAACTTGCACGCCGATTTGCTACTCGAGAATTTGAAGGTCACTTGTTGCTCCTTTTGCATGAGATAATACAAAGTGTAATATTATATCAAAAACAAATTTTACAAGTTAAAAGTAACAATAAATTAATCCCTTTAAACCGATTCCTGTTTACTTTATTCCTTCTATGTAAAAAAAATTCATGAAAAAAAGGTAGAAATTGTGCTGCAAAGGTGTCACTCCCCCGTAATAAAAATCCCTGACTTTTTCCTGAATTCCCTGACCTGTGTCAATTATATTAATTTTTATCAATTTTATATTCATTTATTAATTTTACATTAATTTCTATGTTCGCAACGTTTTTAAGAACAAACACGAAAAAATAATGCGATGACTCATTTTATTTTCACTTCGAATTTATCTTATTTTGAAGCAATTATCTTTTAATTTTAAGTAACAATTAATAAGCAACAATTTCTTAAAAACTTAAGCATCTAAAAATTAGAAATAAATTAAACTTATTAAGAAATTTTGTTGACTTTTAGTTTTTAAAAACGTTGTGGACTTCAGCCTAACAAATTCTGAACATTCAAATGAACGCAATTTATTTATTTATTCCGTAAATTAATATTTTAATTACAATAATATTGCGAGACGTATTTAAAAAATTATAATTTTTAATTGACCATGTCTATACGGCCAGTTAACTGGCAGAATAAGATGGTTTTACTATTTGGCCATTGTATTAACCCCTTCAGTGTGCAGCTAAAATATAACAAAATGGTCCCAAAATGTGTAAGACCTTCTTGTGAATAAATTTTCATGACACTATGTACTAAGGGGTTTTTGGGGTCGCTGATTACGATTCCGGTGTTAATTTTCAAAAATTCAAAATGGCGGATCCAATATGGCGGACACGATATTAAAAAATTCATTGGATTCGCTTAAAATTAGTTACTCGGAGGTTTTCGTGGTCGCTGATTACGAATCTGACATTAGTTTTTTAAAATTCAAAATGTCAAATCCAAAATGGCGAACACGATTTTGAAAAATTCATTGGATTCGCTTAAAATTCGTTACTCGGGGGTTTTCGTGTTCGCTGATTACGAATCTGGCATTAGTTTTTTAAAATTCAAAATGGCGGATCCAAAATGGCAGACACAATTTTGAAAAATTCATTAGATTCGCTTAAAATTCGTTACTCGGGGGTTTTCGTGGTCGCTAATTACGCATCTGTTATTAGTTTTTCAAAGTTTAAATAGTAAGAATTTTTAAAAGAATTTATCCACTTTAGAAATTTTTCAAAATTTTTGGCGGAAATTTTGTATGAAAAATTATTTATTTTAAAAATATGACTTCAGAATCGTGATCAGCGACCCCAAAAACCCCTGAGTAAGAATTTTGAAAAGAATTTATCTACTTTAAAAGATTTACAAAATTTTTGGCGGCCATTTTGGATGAAAAATTATTTATTTTGAAAATCTAACTTTAAAATCGTGATCAGCGACCCCAAAAACCCCCGAGTAAGAATTTTTAAAAAAATTTATCTACTTTTAAAATTTTTCAAAATTTTTAGCGGCCATTTTGGATGAAAAATTATGTATTTTGAAAATATGACTTCAGAATCGTGATCAGCGACCCCAAAAACCCCCGAGTAAGAATTTTTAAAAGAATTTATCTACTTTTGAAATTTTTCAAAATTTTTGGCGGCCATTTTGGATAAAAAATTATTTATTTTGAAAATCTGACTTCAGAATCGTGATCAGCGACCTTAAAAACCCCCGGGTAAGAATTTTTGCGAATATACGTTAAGATGTTTTCTTGTTCGGGCCATGACGTGTATACACGTCATCCACTGTTTGGGCCAGTTTTTTTCATGACGTGTATACACGTCATCCACAGTCAAGAGGTTAATAAAGCGCCCATTAGGTATAAATATATGTTGGATGTGTGTTTGTTTAATTTAACATTTTAACCAATATTGTACAAATTTTTTAAAAAATTCCAAAACAGGTAAATTGGTTCTGCTTTAAATGTGACATGAACTAAACTTATTAAGAAATTTTTGCTAAAATTTATATTATTAAATTTATATTATATAATATTTATATTATTAAATATTAAATTTTTGAATAAAGTAGGAGCACGTTATGCTTTTTGTTATTTTTGTTGTTAGTATAGACGAAGTTCTTGATGCACATTTGAAGGAAAAAAAGCAATTTGTTTTTATTCTGCACACACTTCCTGAAAATTCTGTCTCACGAAGTTTTCTTATAATTTATTTCTAAATCGGTAAAGTTATTTAAATTATAGCTTTTCAATTGGCCAAAAGATACTTAATATACAGTCATGGTGGTCACAAGTTTCACATTATCAATTTCCCTGACAATTTACTGACATTAAAATTATATTCCCTGACAAAATTCTTTTTGCAGGAAAATATGAAAGTTTACAGAAAATGAGTAAAATTTATGAATTTTAATAATTTCTAAAAATAACAATTATAACCCTTCCTAAATTCAATTATTTTCTATAATTTACTATCAAACTTCATCTCTACATCAATTATTTAAATAATTTTCCGAAAGTTCTATTAGAATTCAATTATTTAAATACAAAAAGTGAATTTTTTATAATAATATTGTAATTGTCCATGTTTTTTTCTTAAGTTATTAAGGTAGGTTGTTATGGGGTGATGTGCAACATTTTTTTTCGTTGGACGAAAAACATGTCAAATAATTAAATTTTGAAATATTTCAAAATTGAATGACTTTAGAGGCATTATAATAGAATATTTCTGCATTTTATACTAAAAGATGTGGTATTTTGTTGCAATATATAGAAGAAAAGTCGAAAAGTCGCAATTTTTGAAAATAAATATTATTTAAATTCATAATACTTTTTCACCTTTTGAACCCTTTTTGTTAAATTGTCTTCTACTTCATACACATATTTAGTTGTTTTTTAAACTTTTTTTAATTTATCTAAACGTTAGCTTGCCCGTATATTGAAATATTAAAAACTGTTTATTTTGACTGGCCAAATAGAGTCCCTTTTTTATTTGGCCAGATTTAGATATTAATTGTATATTTTTTTTAGATACACTGGCCAAATAGGAAAAGCAACTTATTCTGCCAGTTCACTGGCAGAATATTTAAACCACCTTATTTTGACAGTTAACTAGCCGAATAGCCACTCTGTTTTTAATTTTGTTTTTGTTTTTAAGAACAGTCACAGTAATTTTAGAAAATATTTATGTTGGCAAAAAATTCCACTCATTTGAACGTTAAAAAACTTGTAGATAATATATTTAATTTCTATCAAATTTTGTATTATTTCTTGAATATACCTTTGAAATTCCATTGAGTCCTCCTAGCGTTTTGATTGCGTTATCAGGATTAATGACATTTCCAGGATATTTAATGCAAATTAATTTGCGATCAAATCTATGACCTCCGGGAAGAACTACACCTGTGAATTCTTTGGCACTTTCAATAACTCGCAAAAATGCTCTTTTACCTTTCTGAGAAGTTGAAGCACTTGGAGTCTAAAACAATATCAAATGTTATTTTAAATATTATTTTATATCGATAAATACATAAATAAATCCTAAACAAAGTAATTAATTAATAAAATTCTATATTAGTAATTAATAATTCAATGTTTTGAATATACATCTATTGTGAATAGTAACTAAATAAATAAATACATACAAACTTCTACTTCAATAAAATAATTAACAAAAGAACTGTAATAAATAAATAAGAAAACTAATAATAAAAAAATAAAACATAAAATTAAATTTTGAATTGAACCCAAGTTTTCAGAATTTAGAAATAGAAAAAAAACAAAATATTAAAATACCAAAACAAATAGAGAAACATAACCTCAAAAGTAACAAACAAATTTTTTATTTCCACTCCCAATGTTTATGATAAACGAATGAATTTAGCGTAAGAAATACTTACCTCTTCGACATCATTAAAATTTTCAAAAACCAAAGAATCTTCACTATCTAATTCGTTTTGACAGTCCTCGAGTGTAAAATCTTTGTCCTTTTCGTTGTTATAATCATTTAGATTTCCGACACTTTCAATTGATTCATTGGACTCACTCATTTTTTCACACTGTGTTATTGTAATTAGTCTACAATTACATTGATAAACTAATAATTATTAAAAATGTTCACATAAATTGTTTTCTATAAACAAAATGAAGCGCATTTATTAAGGTTATGTTACAAGTTGCACCGGTTTTGATCTGATATATTATATTTAATAGATTTAATATATTGTTGGCAACACTGAACTCATTTTTCACGCAAGTAAAGTGGGTTGCCATTCTACAGGTACAGTTTATGAATATATTATATTGTTTGCCAAACAATGGTTTTTTACTGACAGTTGGCTTTGTTTATTTAAATAAATTTAATTTATATTAAAATGATTAAATCATGCTTGCCTATTTAAAAAGGAGAAGAAAAAGCAATGCAAAAGATTAATATTATTTTTATATAATTAAAGTCGACATATTGTAAATAAATAAATAATATTAATACATTTTTGTTCCAATTAATGGTTGAAAACCCATTAAAATTTTTTTAAATTCTCTTATTTACCTAATTAATTAAAAACAACAATTGAATTAAATTTAAAAAATTAATTTAACCAATAAAAAAGTATTCATAAATCTTTTGAATTCAGACAATTAAAAACATTTGTGACAAATGTACGTTATTGTGAGATTTTGTAAAAAGTATCTGTGTGCAGAGAAAAACTCGTTCGAAAACGGTTATTTACTAATTTCGCGTCATTTCAAACAGGCAGTGCCGTTTTTCTTGGGCAATAACTGTAAGTCGCACATAACCTACAAATTTCAGAGATCATCGAACGTTCTTAATAAAAATTATTATTACGGATAATTACAATAATATTATAAATAATTATTAGAAATAATTACACAGTAAAAACAAAGTTTTACTTTAATCTCAAGAGTTGACTTCTTTTCAGATGTAAGTGAAAGTAGACCGAATGGGATTAATTTCAGCCAAGAAGACTACTTTAAAGGCGCTCGCACAGCTATACTTCCTGCATAAGAGTAAGAGAGAAAAAACATTGATTTTGAATTTTCTAACTTATTTACTCTCATGTGTTCCCATAATGACTTATTTATTCTACCGCAATACAAAATCGTGCTTACCGCATCTGAGAAATATCTAATGTCGGTAAGTTAGAGTAACAAGGAATTATCAAATTCTAACCTTTTTTCAGTGTGAATAAATTTTTTGAACAAAATTATTCTTTTTTTCTTAAAACTTCATTTCCTTTATAAATTTAGCTTTGTTTTACTTTGAAAATTTATTTCTATTATCTACATTTACTTTAAAATAGTGTTATATTAAGAAAAATGCTTTAAAAGTCACCTCGTATACAAGCATCTATACACTTCTCATTACGGAAAAGGCTCGTATGAGAGTTTTCTCATATTTCTCATACGAGCTACCGAGCTCGTATACGAACTCCGCGGTCCGTGTATCGAATTTTTTTTTACTGGGGAGCAAACTGTATAGTTAAACACAAAATATTTTCTTTAAGATTATAAGGTCTCATCAAAATCTTCTTTATTCAATACAAGTAGAAATTAATATCCTATGTGTATAATAATTTTATTAATACAATTTACTTGCCTACACAAACAACAAAAACAAATGTTCAAGAACACTGATATATTAATCTCGCGACATAAATTTGTTGACAAGCTGTTTTGACAACTTTTCGAGGTTTGTTTATTGAAATTTAAAGTATATCTAAAGATATCCCAGAGATATTACTGGGACATAAGTACGACGTCCCACAGATATCCACAGGACGTCCTACAAATATCCATAAATATCCCCTAGACATGCTCAGGATACCAAAAGTTCCTTCTCTTAAGATATTTGTTGGAATGTCCATAAGATATCCCTGAGATATCCCAGATATCTATGGATCTAACTGGGACGTTATTTGGATATCCGTAAAATGTCTTGTGCTGTACGGATAACATTTGCTGATTTATTGATAAATTTTTGCACAATAAAATTTGTAAATACGTTAATAAGAATATTAAAATTTGAAAAAAGAATAGCAATTTTTATTAATGAATTATTTAATAATAGAAATAATTTATTGTTTAAATTATATTTATTTACTATTTTTTTATATCATTTTTATTTTATTTAGGGGAGACTGGGGCGAAAAGTTAAATTTTGCATAAATGATTTTTTTGGCAATATAAGCCGCTTAGATGCAAATATTTGTATATCAATATTGTAGGGCAACTTGTCCCCTACAACTTTCAATAAAAAAGTTTCTGATATTTTTGCATACCATACATGTTTTGTCCTTTTTTGAAAAATTTTTTTTTTTTTTAACTTTTCGCCGCGAAAAGAAGGACGCTGCACGGTGGGAAATATTTAAAAGTACGCATAGGCGTAGCGAGCGATTTCTCCTCAACTTCCACTCTTTTCCCCTTTTTTCGTCCCTCTTGGTAAAATTTTTTGACTTTGATAATTAATTAAAAAAAATCCAGATTGAAAATGAAAAAAAGGGCGATTTAGGGAAAAATAATATTTAATAGAGAATATTCAACAAGTTTTCTTATGACGATTAGATGTTTCTATGGGCGTGAATATCAATCCGCGTTTTCCAAAACATAGCAAACTGACAGCTCAAGTACAGTAGAAATGAACGTGAGGAACAAAAATATTAAATGTCAATTATACTCTCATTGTTTACTATTACATTTATTATTTGTTTATTTATTTATTATTGTTATTATATCTATTATTATTTATTATTTTACTTACTTTTTTAAAATATTATTATGGAAAAGTATTAAAACAATAAAGGAAAAATTTTTATGAAAAAATTATTAAACAAATAAAATTTCTAAACAAAAAAAAAGTAAATAATAAAAAATTATGAAATGTATAATTTTAAAAATTTTTTATTGTTATTTTTATTATTGATATTTTTAAGTATATGAAAAACCTAATTTAAATATTCCACAAAATTAGTTTTAAAGTAATTTTTTATAAGGAATTCAACGGTCATAAAATAAAAGCGGACAGAAAATATTTTGACCCTTTTTCAATTATCATTTTTCTTAAAAATTGGTGGATTTCGAAACACACGCGTAATTTGGTAGAAAATATGTTTTTAAATCCATGAAAAGAATTCCAAATGAAATCGATGATTTTCATAATTACCTATAGAAGTATTGTTTTGAAAAAAATCTTTGTTTTTAAACTGAAAATTCTAAAAATAATATTGTTATTCAATTTTTCTATATGGAAAATTATTTGTTTACTTATTTAATTTCTGATCAAAATTTAATCTTAATTTTTCTGTATTTCTATTTTTCATCAATAAAAATTATGATATGAAATTATTTAGAAAAATAAATGTCAAAAAATGCCCTTTTTTAATAAAAAAAAAGCTGCAATGTATTGAAAAAAGACGAAAATTTAATAATCTACTTCAAAAATTGTTAGAAAAAAATTGCAAACATCAACGTCGTTTTCTCAAGACAAAAATGGTTTTCATAATTAGAAATAAATTCTGAGTACCTCCGTGTTTCAGAAAAAGGACTTTTTTCATAAAAAAGATCCAATTTTATGACAAAAATTATGTTTAATAATATTTTCATAAAAAATTTACATTACTTTGTTTTATACTTTTCCATTATAATATTTCTAAAAAGTAAGAATAATAATAAATAATAATAGATAAATAAACAAATAAATATAATTATTTATATAATATTAAATAATAAAAGTAATGACTTATTATTTTTGTTGATCATCTACGTCCCTACATTACCATAGCGTAAATACTTTCAACACGAAAATGGTGCAACCTGTTATGGTCGGCAAAGGCCTACATCGAGCTGTTGCTTTGTTTTGTAAAACGCGGATTCATATTTACGCTCCTAGAAACATCTAATCGTCATAAGTAAGTTTGAATTATATTCTCTATTAAATATTATTTTTCCTTAAATCGCCCTTTTTTTCATTTTCTGTCTGAATTTTTTAAAATTAATTATCAAAGTCGAAAACTTCCCCTCTTTTGGTGTAATTTTTTACTTTGATAATTAATTTTTAAAAATTCAGACAGAAAATGAAAAAAAAGGCGATTTAGGGAAAAATAATATTTAATAGAGAATATAAAACAAATTTTCTTATGACGATTAGATGTTTCTATGGGCGTAAATATCAATCCGCGTTTTACGAAACATATCAAACTGATAGCTCTATATGTAGGGAGAAGTTGGACATGGCCGACCATAACAGGTTGCTCCGTTTGCGTGGTACAGTAGGAATGAACGTGAGGAACAAAAATATTAAATGTCAATTACTCTTATTGTTTACTATTATATTTATTATTTGTTTATTTATTTATTATTGTTATTATATCTATTATTATTTATTATTATACTTACTTTTTAAAAATATTATTATGGAAAATTATTAAAACAATAAAGGGAAATTTTTTATGAAAAAATTATTAAACAAATAAAATTACTAAACAAAAAAAAGTAAATAATAAAAAATTATGAAATGTATAATTTTTTAAATTATATTAGTTACAAAAATTTTTTTAAACAAAATTATTTCAAATACCAAGATTAATTTTTTTTATAGACAATTTGAAAATTAATACACTGGGAATAATATTGACACATTCAGAAAAAATAAATTTTAATGGATAATTTTTTTTTTATTATTTATCAACTATAGTTTATTTCTAAGAAAATTATACATTTCATAATTTTTTATTATTTACTCTTTTTTGTTTAGAAATTTTATTTGTTTAATAATTTTTTCATAAAAAATTTTCCTTTTATTGTTTTAATAATTTTCCATAATAATATTTTTAAAAAGTAAGTATAATAATAAATAATAATAGATATAATAACAATAATAAATAAATAAAAAATAATAAATATAATAGTAAACAATAACAGGGTTCCTACAGAATCTGGAAATCATGGAAATGGTATGGAATTTTTAAAAGGCTTCTGGAAATCAGGGAAATAATGGAAAAGGCCTGGAACTTTTAAAAGTTTCTAAATTTTTTCTGTTTTCCATTTTTTCTCTTGAATAGAAATTCAAATAATAACAAAGCTAAATGGCATAAAAGAGAAGAAAAAATATTGAATTTTAAAAAATTCGATTTTTCGGATTTTTGATAATTTTCTATAATTTTAGATTTTTTACCAAAGAGTCGAGACTA